CATACATACATACATACATACATACTACATACATACATACATACATACATATATACATACATACATACATACATACATACATACATACATACATACATACATACATACATACATACATACATACATACATACATACATACATACATACATACGTTTATACATACATACATAGATGTGTGTGTGCGCGCGTGTGCGTGTATGTGTGTGTGTGTGATAGAGAGAGAGAGAGAGAGAGAATACTTGTATGCACATATATAACTACACATCATCCAAGGACACATGTTTTCCAGTCCGATTTCATAGACTACAATGTTCGTATGCCGCACAGGGCTCGCAATACGATCAAGAACAAAGTGGCATCAATAGGAATATCTCATGAAGTCAAACCAAGCGTACTAACATACAATACTATCACCAATGCCATGGATACATTTACAGTATACGAACACATGCAATATGGTCCATGATACATATCTACACTTACTTCCCGGTTCCATGAGGCTGTTGGCTCTGCGCCTGTACATCGGTGCTTGCTGCCCTGCCCATGCTCGTGGATGTATTGGTTCTCTGGAATGCAGTGCCTCCTCCATTGCCAATGGAGCCACTACCACCCACCCCTGTACTACTAAGACCCTTCACTCCATCCCCAAACACCGCCCCGCTGGCACCAGAGCTGTGCGAACTTCTACACATGCTCGTTCCGGTATGGCCGAGACTTCTATGGGGCGTGTCGTTGTCACCGTCTAGCAGGCCATTCATAATCACCAGATCTCTCATCTTGCCCCTCTCATCCAAGGCACGGTTGTACGATTCGATGATGGCGGTTTTGAGGGCCACGTCGATGGGTAGATCGTCGTCTTGTAGTACAACATCCTTGACCACTTCTTCGGCATCGTTATCCCAGTCGATATCAAAGTCTTCCCTTAACGGGAGAAATCCTGGAATGGGTAGACACAGTCGAATACAGTTGGTGTTATCTATATTCAGGTGTTCGGATGGAAATGTGAACTGTGCTCCGTGAAGCAGATACATACCGATAGATATACTGCAGAATAGTCGAACTTGCATTGTTTAACTCAAATTTTGCGTCGCTATCATCGAACCTTTTTATATCTCACACGTCTGGAAATGGCATACCGTAAAAGCACCTAATAAGTGAGTGAAACAAGTCAGATCCTGGACGGTTATGGACGCCCTACTGATCTCTACTTTATTGGCGAACACGTGAATATGCAATCTGCTGTCTGTTAAATCATAGCAGATCACACAACTACCATCGCTATAATTAGCCTCCAGTTTCCAATTGTACATCCAACTACACCCAACAAGAAAGGAGTCTGTGCATAATCCATACCTGGAATATATTCCGAATGTTCAGTAAACAAATCAAACTTCTCTTTAAACTCAAAGTACACAAGTAGACCAACATCGTACACATAAACAAATCGCATGTCCTCAGCGGTATACGGATCTACGTACCTGCCGCCTCAGGCATAATGGTAGGTGTCATCGAGGTGTGAACATTTCTTAGAGCGATATCTTTCTGCAAACATGAGTCTGGTAACGGCATTGTCGGTATATCTATATATGTAGTCATGAAGTGGTCTCGACATCCATCACTATCCTGTAGCGCACCACCGAAACAAACAGTGAGAATACACGTAATATAAGCGCGCTTCCTGAAGTCGATTAGGTTTCTTAAGTATGAATTTTCACGATTGATAGTATACTTCTTTCGATTCACAATCGCTTAAATTTAGGATATGATTAACGATGCATGTCTCATGTTCTGCAATTGCGCCTAGGCGCAGGTTGTGACAGACAGGTCTGATATTGAGTGTGACAAGTGAACAAAACGTGCCTACGTAACCAATTATGAACTATGAACGTGTCCATTTCCGATATA